ACAACAATGAAACAAATGGAACCAATACAGAAAAATCACTGAATATTAGGTAAACCTGTTCATATTGTTCGGATCCTGATATGACAAAGAAGCCTTTACAAAAAAAAGTACCACTCGGAATGCCTTCAACATTTTATCAGCGTATACTTCGGTGATAGCAAATATACAGGGTGTCCGCAAAGTTGGGGTTGTCCTTTTCAGAAACAACTACCCTTGAAATAACAAAGTTAATGTGTAGTGAAACGAGGGCGACCAAGTAAAAAAAAATAAAGGAAAAAGTACTCACTCTTCAGTTGACGAGAAGGGCTAAGTACGCCTCTGCCCGAAATCATACCGCTCCAACAGAAAATGAAATCAGCTGAAGCGCTACCGAGCAGACGCAGGCGGTGGTGCAGACCACGAACAGAGGTAACAAATATGACGGCGTTGCCGCGTTTTCAGTTTTTAGGTAGACGTACTTTATAGGTATTGTTCGAAGTTATCGCCGTTTGATTCAAAAACACAGGTGCGTGCACGACGTAGCCAAGCATCGGTGCAGGCTTTGAGAATGGAGTCCCTCCCCCGAATGAAAGCAGCAGCTTGTTCAATTCTGAGACGAAGTTCGTCAACCGTATGCACTTCAGTTTTGTACACTAAGCGTTTCATTTCTCCCCAAAGAAAAAAATCACATGGTGTTAAGTCTGGAGATCGCGGAGGCCACGTCCATTACGTCCGATCCACCTATTTGGAAATAATTCGTTCAAAAACTCACGCACTTCGCTTCTAAAATGGGGCGGTTCACCATCGTGCAGAAACCACATTGATTGTCTTACACTTAATGGCACATCTTCTAACAAGGAAGGCAAAATGTTGCGTAAAAAGTCTAGGTATTGCATCCCGTCCAATCGATTTGGGAGAATAAATGGTCCAATGAACATACCGTTCACCAACCCAGCCCAAACATTCACCGAAAATGTTTGTTGAAAATGTGCCCGACGGACAGTGTGCGGATTTTCTACTGACTAAACATAAGTGTTGTGAAAGTTATTCACGCCATTACGCGTGAACGTAGATTCGTCTGTCACCAATATGCACTTCAAAAAGTCCGGATTATTGTCATGTTGATGCAACAACCACTCACAAAACCGCACTCTTGCTGGAAAATCGTCATGTTGAAGGGCTTGTACACATTGGACGTGAAACGGATACAGCCCCTCTTCACGCAGCGTTTGCCACACTTTAGTTTTTGATACTTGCACTTCTCTAGCCACGTCTCTAGTGCTTGTTGAAGGATTCTCGTCTACGCGATTCAGTAGTTCTTCCTCAACTTGCACCATTCGTGGTTGTCTAGGCCTCCCACTGTGCCCACCTCGAAATTCCTCCAAATGGCCCGTATCCCTGACTCTCTGGACCAGGTACACACATCTGCGGGGCCTTGGATGATGTTGTCTAGGGAAACGATCTGCATACACTCGCGAAGCCTCTGTAGCATTTTGAAGACATTCGCCATAAATTAACAACATATCAACGAGTTCATTATTGGTGTATGAGTGTGCCATTATTTTTTTTTTTTAAGAAACGCAATCGATTATACGGGTTCGTTTACCTCTACACGCGTGACCGTAACCGTCGGTTGAAGGTTACATACTGACCTGACACACTGACCCCGACCCAGTTCTGTCGTCGAGTTGAGCCAGTGACCTTGTACCACTCGGTGATGTCGCGGGTCGCGGCTACAGATATTTTTGATGTTGCAGAGCCCTTTATCTCGGTTCCCTTAAGACATTGGTGTATATGGTACTAAGAAAAATTGCTTATGTTTTCAAGATCTACACGTCTTGTAAAGGAAAACCCTAACTTTGCGGACACCCTGTACTTACAACTTATTATCAAAATTCAATAAATAATTCTGGGTGTTGTATTATGTATGTCACTTAGTATATACGAGGAGGTACCCAAAAATAACCGGAATAGCATTGCAGTGGGCGGAGCTTGTGTAGTACACATGTCTGCCCCTAGAGGCGTACAACGCAACTCATTACCAATTTAATGCCACCTGAGTTGTCGATCTGCCTTGTTTCGTTCCTCTGTAGTCATTATTTTTGCTAGAGCTGTTTCGTTCCTGTTTCGTTTTTTACGATGGCAAGCTTCAGTGACCAACGTGAGCTGTGAATTTTTTTTCTAATGGATAAAAATGCCGCCGAAGCTGTGTTAATGTTGAAAATAGCTTACAAAGGTGATGCTATGGCGACATGTCGATTCATGACGAATCTCGCTCTGGACGTCCATCAACTGCCCGAATCGACGAATATGTTGAAAAAATTCGACTGTCTGTGCTTGCAGACGGTCGACTGACAATCGATCAACTATCCGTAAGTAGTGAGTTGTCCTGAAGTTTCGTTCAGCGAATTTTACCAAAGATTTTGGAATGAAAATGGTTGCTGCCAAGTTTGTTCCTCGGGCTCTGACTGGCAATCAAAAAGAACATCGAGTTGGAACATGTCGTGCTTTGAAACAACAGCTTGAACCTGATCCAAATTTTCTGTCACAGGTAATCACTGGTGATGAGACTTGTTGCTACGGTTATGAACCAGAAGCGAAGCAACAGGCAGGTCAATGGAAGACGCCATCGTCACCCCGTCCAAAAAAATATCGTCAAGTCAAATCAAACATCAAAACAATGCTGATTTGTTTGTCCCCCTAGTCACTCTCAATCAGACCTTATATTTGGAGGTTTTAAGACGATTGCGAAACAGTGTTCGGCAAAAAAGACACGATTTGTGGCAGTAAGGAAACCGGTTCTTCCACCACGATAATGCACCTGCGCACACACCCATCTCTGTTCGACAGTTTCTGGCTAAAAATGGCATGGTTCCGCTGCCTGACGCACCTTATTCGTCTGACGTGACTCCGTGCGACTTTTCCTTATTTACACGGATGAAAAGGGGTACGAAAGGACTCCGCTTTGACGACATTGAAGTGGTCAAGAAAAAAACGAGTTTGGAACTGTCAGACATTTCTAAGAAAAAAAGGAAAACTTCAAAAAATGTTTCGAGCAGTGGAAGCACCGGTGGGACAAGTGTATTAGCTGTAGTGGAAAGTATTTTAAAGGATATAAGGTTACTTTGTGAAAAAGTTGAAAATAAATAGCTTTTAAAAAATAATTGCGGTTTTTCTTGGGTACCCCCTCGTATAAAGCATAATCGAGTTTGCCACCCCTGCCAAAATCCTGCGCTTGTCTCTAGGGGGCCTCGGACAGATGGCATTAGCCGTATCAGAGATACAACGACCTTATTTACCTTGTCAGTGGTGCGCGTTATATGTTCAATCATTTTCAGATCTTTGTCAAGCCACACACTCAGATGCTTAATTGCATTTTGGCTCCTAATCTCGGAATCATCAACCTTAACAGCTAATGAAGTTAGCTTCTGTCTGCCAGAAAGTATAACTACTTACGTCTTCTCTTCGTATGCCAAGAGTCCTTCAAGTGTATACTTCTTCTTGCTAGTCACTATCATCGTAAGGTCGTCAGCATACTCTGTCAAGCGAATTCCCGGCAGCACTTGTAACCGAAAAACACCATCGTATAACACGTTCTAAAGTAACGGCCCTAGGACGGAGCCCTGCGCCACTCTCATGGATACATTCGTCGTATTTTGCCCTACCATGAGTACCCTCTCGTTAAAGTCGCTCTTAATCATGTCCAATGGATAGCTAGGGGCGTCTAGCTTCTCGAAAGGTTCAAAGATTTTCTGCCATTGTGCCGTGTTAAAGGCATTCTTAACGTTTTGCTAGCTGTGACCCTGCACTAAGTGCATCTATGGCAGTAACCATATTGCGTCATCCCCGACGTATTTTCTTAGTCTACCTTCTATCAGTCGTTCTACGAGCCCCTTCCCACTTCAGTTTGCCCACTTCAACATTTGTATCAAAATATGCCTTTATAAACTAAACATGACGAAACTATTCACTGCTAAAACAATTTATTTTCTCAAAAACATTTTAGATACACTCTAGTCGTAAAAAATACATATTTGAAATCACTTAGACCTATAACTAATAGAACATCTGAACAAATAAACAATGTGCGAATAAATGCGCGAAGTTAACAAAGCAACAATTGAAAGATTACCATTGGGTAAAGTCACCTTTATTTTTTATTACGGCTGAAATTCTTTGGGGCATAGTGTTAACCAAGTTTTGGCAAAAATTTGGTGTAAAACAATCCCATATTTCTTGAAGCTTTTGTCTCAGTTCGGTGATTGTTGGAGCAGGATGTTGTCGTAGAACCTTTTTCATCTCGTGCCACAAAGTTTCAATAGGTGACAGATCTGGACTGCTAGAAATCCATTTCAAAAGTGGTACATTATTTTTCTTCCATCCATTTTATAGCCTTTTTTGAGGTATGGCACGCTGCACCATCTTGCTGAAACACAAAATTTTGGCCGGATGTCAAACATTCTTCCATCACTTAATTGTAAATAATTGGCACGCCTGTTTTTCACGATTATTCTTAATGCTCTTCGGTCGGCATTTGTGATATTACTTTTTTTCACATATCGTGGCTTAATATTAACTGAACCAGTTACGTTATATCTGCTAACAATATTTCTCACACTGTACCGCGATAAGTCTAACAAAGTTCCAATTTCTGAGTTTGATTTCCCAGAATTAAAAAAGTTAATTATCAGTAACCGAATTTTCTCACTAATAACCTTTCCTCTACCCATTTTGAAAACCTTAACTACCCAAAACTATTTTAAACGTATTCTGACAGCTGTGATTAATGAAAATAATTGTCATGGCTTTTATTTTTTACAGCCACCTATGCGTTATAGACTTATTTTGCATTGAAATGAAAATAGGTTTATATGCTGTAATTGCAACATGTGTTATTTCTATGCTGCAAATTTGATTAGGGAGTGATAAAGTTGGCGTTTTCTACTATATATTATCAAATATTCATTGTTAATATTTTAAACCCATAAGACCCTGCTACATTTTTATTACGTGTGTTTGATAAAAAAACTAAGATTTCAATAGTTGGGCCAACTGAAGTGGGAAGGGGCTCGTAGTAACATTCCAAGTGAACTCAACATACACAGGGGTCTATATGTGACTTTCCTAAGCGTGGGTTTCGGAACTCCCGTTATCAATTCATCACACACACCAAGATTTCGGGTATCTCTTTAACCAGCACTTTTACGATCTCCTTTGGTATTTCATCTAGTCCTGGCGCCTTATCTGTTTTCAAGTTCCTCCAGCTCACTCATGCTGAATTCTGGTACGTCAAGAGTTTGCTCGAATTTCCATTTGGAGTGTGAGTACTTCGGCAACACTCCATCTGCAATTTTTATTTGCCGTTCAGTATTCAGGTACGGTCAGTCTGTGAGTTTTAGCTTTTTCATGGCTATCTTCACTATCCATCTGTTACGTACGCCACAGGTAGAAAGATTAAAGGATATTCTACATCAAACAATGGCTATTGGTGCTTAGTGGGTGCATGTCAAATTTCATGAAAATATCTAGAACAGTATTAAAGTTATGATAAGAAACCGATTTTTCTTCTTAAAATTTTAACACCCTGTAACTCAAGAGTTAAGAACATATATATACACCCTGTATAGTGGATTTCTAATTTTTGCCGGGGTATGTCGTTTCTTTCGTATAATTTTTTGGCTGTCTTCAGGTAGAATATGTTATTCAATGATATGCCGTATTTGGGATCAGTTTGACCGTATGGATGTGATTTTCAGGCCGGCAGTATGAGACCACAGCTATTGGAATTATCAGAGCAATTGCAAGCTTCTTTGATAGCATATGATGAAGGTCTTCAGTCTGATGATGTAGGCCTAGCTGGAGCCCTTTGGAGGAGACTGTATCAAATGGGGGATGTGGATATTCACGATCTGGAGGCATTGGTTAAATATGTTAGACAACAGGTACGTTTGTTTGTTTGTTTAAAATTTATTCGACATGACTGCTGCAATTATATTCTTTCCAAAAAAAAACTACAACAATTACATAACATACAGATATTTAGAAAAATAAAATTTGCATCTCTAAGAATTTTCACTATCCATGAAATATTCATTTAATTTTCTTTTAAACATATTTAGATTACAAGAAGGCTTTATATCACTATTTAGTTTATCAAAATTCAAGTAATTCTTTCTGAAATATTGATTTACTAGTTATACAGGGTGATTCACAAGTCGAGACCAAAAATGAAACATCATTCACAGGACCGCATTTTAAGGGGGGTCTTCTATGTAACAATTTTTCCTCGAGGGCTTCATTAGAAAGAAACGAGGTGTTGAAGTTTAAAAATAAAAAACATTATTTGGTTTGTGGAATTACCTAAGTATTGACCACATTAAAAAGTCTTTACTCAAAATTAAAGTGCACCAGTGGTGGAGATACAGTGGATTAGTGGCATTATTTTTCCAAATGAAAATTTATGGAAGTTTGTCTTCAATTTGTTACGAATAATTACTTTGTTTTTTCCTAGAGTGCGTTGTTTTCGTAAAAATAGTAATAAACAGATTAGATAACACTTGACAACAAATTTTAGTTTTTTAATTGTATCTTGTGGGAAAAGTGCACTTCTTTGTTAATTTTGGGGCGCTGAATCCTAAAATGTCAATGAAATAAAAAAATTAGTTGCGGTTTAGAAAAAAAACTTTTTATTTTTAAGGATATATTAAAAAAAGTAAGAAGATTCATATATACTTATAAGAATCACTATATGCGCTGTCTTTTTGCTGTTCTTTTATGGATCGTTTCTGGAGCATCTCTACCAAGAGTCCAACAGTAGTCTGCAAGCATGGAAGGATTCCACTTTCCCTGGTACCTTTTTTTCCATTGTTGAAATATCCTGATGAAAACGTTCACCGTGCTCATCACTTACGGCTCCGCAATTGTCAGGAAAAAAGTCCAGGTGTGAGTGTAGGAAATGTATCTTAAGAGACATATTACAGCCCATCTTTTGTTACGATGACAGCATATTTTTGACAAGGGTTTTATAGTTGTCAGCTTTTATATTTCCCAAGAAATTAGTGACCACCAGACGGAAATCATCCCAAGCAGTTTTTTCAATACCTGTTAAAGTGTTTTCAAACTGTGTATCTTTAAAATATTTCGAATCTGTGGCCCAACAAAAATACCTTCTTTAACCTTTGCCTCACTTAGTCTAGGACATTTCTGACGCAGGTATTGAAAAGCTGACCCATGTCTATCTAATGCCTTGACAAAGTTTTTCATTAGGCCCAACTTGATATGCAGTGGTGGTAATAAATTTTTTTTCGAATCTACTAATGGCATATGCTGTACGTACATTTTTTTGACCTGGCTCTAGGAATTGACGAACAGGCCAGTTTTGTCTGGTGTAATGAAGTGCCTTTGCCCGACTGTCCCATTCACACAAAAAACAGCAAAACTTTGTGTAGCCTAGCTGCAGCCCAAGTAAAAGTGCAACAACTTTCAAATCGCCACAAATATGCCATTGGTGCTCATCGTATTTTATGCATGTCAATAGGTAGTTCATATTGTCATATGATTCTTTCATGTGAACTGCATACCCTACAGGAAGAGATGGTAAAATATTTCCAATATGCAATAACACTGCCTTTAAACTCAATGTTGAACTGTCTATAAACAATCTCCATTCTTCTGGGTTATAGTTTATATTTAAAGCCGCCAGTAAGCCGTTAATGTTACTGCAGAAAACCAAGTTATTCTCCATATTGAAAAATGGTTCTAAGTCTTTGTGGCGTTTACGAAAAACACATACCGAAACATCGTCTTCTAACAAGTTCCACTGCTGCAGTCTTGATCCAAGTAACTCTGCCTTACATTTTGGAAGTTCTAAATCTCTTACAAGATCATTTAATTCTGACTGTGTTATTTTGTGCGGTTGGTGGCATGACGTGCTCGGTATAAAATCAGGATCTCTTGACGTTGATGGCATATCTTCTTCCTGACGAATCACTCGATCGCCATGATCTGATTCGTTTTCTGATTCGCAAGTGTAGGATTCTGGGGGTTTTGGAATAGGATTTTCGTCACTGTGAGGCACAGGTCTCATCGCAGATGGTATGTTTGGGTAGTTAATAACCGATTTTTTTTCTTGGACATACCTGTGGCTTGTCCAACACAAGGTACCATGCAAAAGTAACAATCATTAATATGATTTGTAGGCTCTCTCCAAACCATTGGGACAGCAAAGCGCATAGACCGTTTTTTGCCATTTAACCAGCTCCTCAGATTTGAAGCACATGTATTACAGCAGATGTGGGGTGCCCACTGTTTGTCTTGATCACCTAGTTTACAACCGAAATAAAGCTGATATGCCTTTGTTATTATTAGTAGTAGTCTCTGAGACGCAAAAGTCACATCACCACACACGTAACAAAACTGATCTGGATTGTTTACACACTTTCGAGACATCTTGCATGAACGCTGTCAGCCAACTGAGGAAAAAATGGCTAATATAAAACAATATAATGTACACGTATGCATAACGTAACACAATCATGCCGATTACATCATCTTTCCTTGCCGAATATAAAAATGTTGCACGTGCATTCTTGTGAATTACAGTATATCTATTAACACTGTCACAGCAGGAACACATATAATTACCGTATCTCTAAAACTTGAACTAATATTGAAAAAATAAGTTTCGTTCCGGTTTTAGCACATTAAAAATAGTAATATTTTGTTGATTTTATTTAGGATATTTTTTGGCTGTTGATCAGTGTAATCAAAGCTTCATTTAAATAAATGTTCAAAAAGACCACCATTCTGACGGATACAGGTGCGGCTTCTTTTTGATAAAGAACAACTTATTTCCGCAAAATTTGTTGTGGCTGGAATTTGATTAAACGCATTGTCTATTCTTTATTGTAACTGATTAACACTATTAATTTGTTCAGCAGGTACACCTAGTTGTTTAAAAGCACCCCACATAAAGAAATCCAGGGGGTTCAAATCAGGAGACCTCGTAGGCCAATGTACGGGTCCGTTCCTGCCAATCCATCTATGTCTAAACTGATTATTTAGCCATGTGGTTATATCACGACGAACATGCGGTGGAGCACCGTCGTGCTGATACCACATTCATACTATCGTTGCTAGCCGAACAACATCTAACACATTTTCTATGTAATTCTCTAGAAAAGCTAAGTATGAGTTTGCATTTAAACGTTGTGGCAATACGTGCATTGGTCATTGAAAATGGCGCACCAGACATTTGTAGAAAATCTGTGTTGAAACGAGTGGATTGTCACAGAACGGGGATTTTCTAACGATCAAATACGTTCATTATAAGAATTTTGATTGTGCATTTGCAGTAACCACTCACAAAAATTTCGCCGTTGCACTTCGTCGCCGTGTTGAGACATTGCAACATTTGCCGATGGTAAGATTGTAAAAATTCCCGATTTAAAATTCTCCGCGCAAGGGAACACGATAACTGGGCTGCAATCCGCATAGTACTTGTACTAGGATCATCCAACGCCTAATTAATCACTTCCAGATCCTTTTGAACAGTATACCGGACACCTCTAACTCCGGGAAGTTTGGCAATTCCCTATTGCCGAAGTCTTAAAAATGAACGCGTGAAAACCTTAGGGGTAGGTTGGCGTCTGTTAGAAAATCTACGTTGATACTCCCGAGAGCTGCTAAAGCATTTCCATTACAGAACCCGTACACAAAAATGATATCTGCGTACTCATCATTGCTAAATTACATTTCACAACACTCAAAAATGGAAAAAAGAAACTTTTGACTTGATTTTTACAGAAAAAAATGGTATTAGTAGTAACGATAACCGTATAACACATAACTTTGACTAACTATCTCCCAAGAAACGTCAAGCTGGTATCAATGCCTCCTATTTTATTTTGAAACAAATTACATAGAAGACCCCCCTTAAAATGCGGTCCTGCGTATGATGCTACATTTTTGGTCACGACTTGTGAATCTTCCTGTATTTCTATTACAATCTTGTAAATGAAAATCTATATTTCCTCTTGTATAATAATTGTGATAATGATTATTCAATTCTATGTAGGGCCTAAATGTTGTGGCAAAATATGATTTTTTATTTTAAATATAAAAAGTAGAACCAAATGTGATATGAAATTTTTTATATTCAACCACTGCAATTCTTGTAACATGGATTTTATTTTGGTGTACTTATTTTTATCCAATATTATTCTCATAGCTTTGCTTTGCATGATTTGTCATTGTGAGAATATAGTTTAATTGGCAATGAACAAGATTTTTGAACAATATGGCAAATCTGCCCTACTAACAAAGACCCCCGTATCTCAAAAAATTTAAAAAATTGAGATATTTGCATCCAACGAATGATCATGATTTATGCTACATATTTGCATAGGGAAAACCCCATATTTTACATTTTTAAATGTTTTGTATATTACATTTTTTTAGAAAGATCCTGGTATGTACTCAGTAGATACGGGCTTTTAACTAAAACCGCATAAATCGCCAGTTTGTTTATTGGTTTCGACTTTTCGGCATGTTTATTATAAATTGAATCCCTCTACTTTTTCATTAATATATCAGTTGCAAATTGTTACTTTTTAAGTTAAAGTTATACTAAGTGACATATAAATCCGAACACCCAGTTTAAATGGTTTTATTTTAATAAAAGTTGGTGAATGTATTTATCTTACTGTAAATAAAAAGTGAAAAAATGTTCAGACTTATCAGTTGGACATTCCGGTTTTTATACTGTTTTTTTTTAATTCACTAACGCTCTAAAAATGAATATTTCAGCCGCAGTAAAGAATCAACGTTGGCGGATTTTGGTTCTTGACATCCTTTACGATCGGTTACGATGCCTAGAGTACGGAGACCTGTACGATTTCGTCAACTTAGTGAGTTTGATAGGGGCCGTATAGTGGGACTTCGGGAAGCTGGACTTTCTTTTCGGGCAATTGCAGTTAGAGTGCAAAGACGTGTAGACACTGTGGTTAGGTGTTGTCAGGCATGGCTTCGGGAAGGCCGTACGCAAAGAGCAAGGGGCACTGGACGCCGCCGTAGAACAACAGACCGTGAAGATCGCCGCCTAAGATTATTGGCCTTAAGGGACCGTTTCTCCACTACCAGGTCCATTGCAAATGAATGGTTTGCAGAACACGCAAGACCTATTGGCATGCGAAGTGTTTACCGACGAATGAGAAGTTTTGGCTTGTTTTCATACCGACCACACTGGGTCCTCCCTTTAACTAGAGAACACCGACGTAATCGCCTTGAGTGGTGCAGACAACGGTCACTCTGGGATCAGGAATGGAACAGTATTGTCTTTAGTGACGAGTCTCGATTTTGCTTAGGCATGCACGATGGTCGTGCCAGGGTTAGAAGGCGACGTGGTGAAAGGAGGAATCCACAGTTTTTTGTTGAAAGACATGTTCATCACACTGTTGGAGTTATGGTTTGGGATGCTATAGCTTATGGTTCCAGGTCACCTTTAATCTTCATCAGAGGTAACATATCCACGAAGTTCTAGAACCCCATCTTTTACCCTATCTTGACACCCTGGCAGATCCAACTTTCCAACAAGATAATGCCCGACCACATGTTGCAAGAGTCACAATAGACTTCTTTCAATGATGTCACATTGTTACCATGGCCACCAAGATCCCCCAACTTATCCCCAATTGAGCACGTGTGGGATATGATGGGTAGGAGATTGCTCAATTTGCAACGTCCTCCTCAGACTCTAGAAGCACTTCGAGAGGAGTTGGTGGTTGCCTGGAATGAGTTACCACAGGAGGACATTGACCACCTGATCAGAAGCATGCCTAGGCGCGTTGGAGAATGCGTAGCACATCAGGGTGCATCCACACATTATTAAAGGTCAAAGGGCTTTAAAGCAGTGCAATCATTTTGAAATTTTTATCATTTACTTATTATGCTTCATTAAGTACTTATACAAAATTTTATTAAAATAAAACCATTTAAACTGGGTGTTCGGATTTTTATGTCACTTAGTATATTTTTATATAAATACGTGTGTTTTTTTGAATAAGTTATATTCGTAATAATAACTAATACTAATATATAAAATGATTGTCTCTAGGCGCAGATATAAAATTTTATGATAATTACAAAGTCAAAACCAAGCCGAATTATTATACGCGGTTTGAACTAATTATTCTTAACATAATGCGTTGCTTTCTTAGACCGTGTATCGCATACCTAATATGTATGGCCTAGTATTGCACAATTTCTTAAAAACATGCTTGCTTGTCATTTTGGAGGCTAGACGTCCTTTTGGGAGCGGGAATGCCTACCCCAGGCGGTCCTGGTCTATGCTTGGTGCCATCTAAAAATTTGGATTGAAGGCTTCGCGCAATCTCGACATGTTACGGACCTTTTTTTTATACCTCAACTACCACGAAGGCCTAAGGAATAAGCACCCATTGGGTACCGTGGGGCTATAGGGGGATACATGGGAAAGGGGAACGCCACACGGACTCTGGCGAGGGAACACGTGTGCATGCAACATGCACACATTCTGGCTCCGCCTACGAGATCCGCCGGGTGGTACCTCCGCGTTCGACAGTCAGAGACCGTCTACCACCTACGGACAATCACAACATCCATAGCCAAGAGAAAAATTTCTCCTGGGACGGGACTCGAACCCGCACAGCGCACGGCGACTGATCAGGAGACCGAAGAGTCTACTACTGCGGCCACCGCTGCTACCTTTCAAACTATTGTAGAAACACACAGTATAGGAATCTGATAATGAAAAGACAAAACAACGAAGTATCACCTGGAAAACAGATAAAATATTGTCTAAAGTGTTACCATTGTGAGAGAAACGTTTCATTGGCCAGACAAACATTTGGATTATCGATATGAAAACCACAGGATAAATTTCAGATGGTATATACTCGTATTATAATTTACACTTTTACTAATAAATATAAACAGATTTATTGATTTTTTCGAAAATACATATGAGAGAAACATTTTTATCGAAGCTGCATCATGGTACATTTGGGTGGTATTCTTATAAATTTTGATAATCAAGACTTCTATGACAAAGAAATTTAAGCAGGTACTCAGTTTTTATGGGATATGGCAAAATGTTTATGATCACACCAGAATTACAAATCAGTCAAGAACAATTATAGATTTGATAATAACGAGCGAAGAAAATTTAATTGCAAAAGTTATGCATACTCCTAAAACCAGTGATCATTCATGGATATGTTTTGAAGTTGAAAGTATATTTGATACTAACAAAGTAAAAGAAATTACAAATATTATTATGTAAAATTACGAGAAGCTCTTTTACTGCAAGTATGATGTTTGTTGCTTCTCTCAGTCGTTCAAGGATTCTAAATTCAAAAGAGACTACAATCACAACAAAAGTTTATGATCACTGGGAGTGAAAATGATTGGTTACACAAGATCAAGAAACGAATCTGTAGCAATTCTACGAGATGAAAAGATAAAATATTACAATACCAAAATTGATGACAGTAAAAATAATAGCAAACAGATGTGGAAAACATTAAAAAACATTGTTTTTCCTATAAGAAGAAATACATCATCTAAAATGAACTTCGACGATGAAAAAATAATAGTAGATCGAAAGAATAATTTCATAGAAAGTGTCAACTACATTGTAAAATCATAATGCATCATTCAGTGAGTTCAGAATGATAAATAATAATCGTCTCAAGAAGATTATATCAAAATTGAAATCAAATCAAAATAATAGTGAGATTTTATCTAAAAGGGTGCTTGATGAGTGTTTTGATATTATTGGAGTAAGGATATTAATCCTGATAAATGACTTTTTACAATATGGCGGATTGCCAACAAAAATGAAGTGTTCTACCATTACTCTTGTTTTGATAGTTAAGAAGTCTTCTGAGTTGCGGTCAATAAACGTTCTGCCAGATGTTGAAAAAGTGAAGGAATTATTTACGAACGGATTATCGAATTTATCTAGGGAACTAAAATTCATAAAATACCTAATCGAAACGGCAATACAAATGGTTTTAGAGGATTGCAGATGTGTGGACCTTAGGAAACTACAGCGACAGTGTTTTTAGCCTTGAACAGGGCGTTTGAAACTATTGACAGGAATAAATTACAAAATTGGATCACTATGGATTTATAGGATCTGTATTCAAAATTCTACAAAACTACTTAATTGACAGAAGTCAGCAAACCAAAATTGGATCTACAATCTACTTTATCAAGCTCAAACAATATTTCTCTTGGTGTATCACAAGGAAGTAAACTAGGTCCACGACTATTTATTTTACACATTAATGACATTAATTGTTATATTGTAGATTATTGTAAAATTTAGATATTTACAGATAATACATTAATATACATATCAGATGAAAATATAGACACTGCTTTAAAAATCCTAAATTCTTACTTGGCAAAAATCATAAATTGGTTAAATGTAAATAAACTAAAATTGAATGCTTTTAAAACAAAATGTATGCTAATAGGGAAACAACACCTAAATGAAAATACTTCATAGTTAGGACAAATGGTGAGATAATTGAAAATGTTGAATTAATTAAATATTTAGGTATATTATATTGATAGTAAACTAAAGTTTGGGGATCACTATGGCCACATTATATCAAAAATTGCTAAAAAAAACAAATTACTTTTATAGGGCTTCTCATAATCTTAGTACATATTCCAAAAAAATAATTTTAATACAATTAATCTACCGCATTTTCCAACTGTCTTGTTCACTGCCAATGAAGTTGTATTCTCAAAATTACAAGTCCTGCAAAATAAAGGTATGATAATAATAAAGGGTGGCGCAACCGTAACGCACGATGTAAATAAAATATATAAAATATAAAGTTTTTTTCTAAACCGCAACTAATTTTTTTATTTCATTGTCATTTTTGGATTCAGCGCCCCAAAATTAACAAAGAAGTGCACTTTTCCCACAAGATACAATTAAAAAACTAAAATTTGTTGTCCAGTGTAATTATACCCCTGTCAAAGTCGCTAACATGGTGATAATTTGGACGTCTTCGAACTGGACCCATTTGGTTATGCTTAACAGTAGTAAATGAAAGGGCAATAACTAAAAATACCTGTGCTATTCAGCTCGCAGAAATTGCTTTCTTGACAAACACTAAGAGATAACATTTCAACAAAGGCAAACAAAAACAAAGATAAAACGTTGGAATTCTTGCCACAGCATGCTTTAAATAATAGTCATTGTGTTGCCAAAAAAACAAGTGGAAGAAATTATTTTTTCTGGTGTAACACTTTTAATGTCACTGAGTATAACTATCAAATCAATATTTCAGAAAGGGTTACTTGAATTCAATAAACTTAATAATGATATAAAGTCTACTTGTAATTTGAAGATTTTAAAAAAAAAATTAAAGGAACATTTCATGGATAGTAAACATTTTTAGAGATGCAAATTTTGTTTTTCTAAATATCTGTATGTTATGTAATTGATGTTGTTTTTTAAAACAATGTAATTGTAGAAATCATGCCAAATAAATCTTAAACAAACAAAATATTTTTATGTATTTTAGTGTCGGAAAAAAAACGAAATTAAGAAAAAATGTTTTTTATCGATTAATTTATATTAAAAATAGACTTTTTTCATGGCACGACACAATCTTGTAGTTTTCACCAAATATTTTGTCCCCTAACAATTTTGCTATACATTTCTCAGACTATATAACATTTAGTAGATAAAACACCATTCTTTATACATGCAAATGCACAAGCCGTCATCAGTTTCTATTTTGTGACTTTTTTTTTAGATTTCCATGCTGGACAGTATACCCAATGAAAAGATATTTAGGGCAGAAGTCAATTGGGCCTAATCAACTTCATTCAAGCTTAGGAAGTATGAGCGTTTCTTTTTTTGTTAACATATATGTTATATATTGTTTAACTGTGTACATATTAATTATATTCAGAATATAGAATTGTAACATTGTGACTTTATTATAAAAAAAACTTGGCTTGCATAATGACATCAAGGATCGGGATATCGAGAGAAATGGTTCCAATGTTTTCAATATTGGGTAAAAGTTGATATAGCAAAAATCACCTACCTATACAAAAGTTGCATTATATAAGAGTTAATTTACATTTTTAAAAATTATTTAAGGATCATCATTATCAATTTAAATGGATACCGTTTTTACAAAAACTGTTCAAATTTGTCCCCATTTGTTCAACGACTCTTTACAAGCTTCGAAAATAAAATCCTGGTGTCCACGGATTAAATCACAAGCATTATCAGTGCGCTGTTGGAAGTTCTTCCAGAGTATTTACTGCTCCATCATGATACACCAACTCTTGCAAATAGACCCAGAAAAAATCGCAAGGCGTTAAATCCGGCGAGCAAGCAGGCTAATAAACGGGTCCATTGCGCCCTCTTTATCTATTTGAAAACTCATTATTTAAATGCTTATGAACTTCTCGTCTAAAATGTGGTGGAGCCCCATCATGTAGAAACTACATAGTCTGTCTCCCATTTAGATGAACATCTTCTAATAATTGTGGCAGTATGTGTCGAAGAAAATCTAAATAAATTTCACCGGTCAGTCAGGTGAAAAAAAGTATTGTCCAATAAGCATGCCATTTACCACGATAACTCAAACATTTAATGAAAATCCATGTTGAAAATCAGTTCTTTTGACAGCATGCAGATTTTCTACTGCCCAAACATTGATTGTTGTGGAAATTGTGCACCCCACTTCGTGTGAATGTGGTCCCATCTGTACACAAAATTAATTTCCTAAAATCTTCATTTCTGCCACTAATAGCGAGGAATCTTACAAACAATTAAAATAAATGACTCAACTTTCTAAACACCCTGTATATCTTTTTATAGCTCTTATTTGTTACCCCAAAACCCTTAGAAAAATATCCGATGTGGTAGTAGTAAATTTGGAAGAAGATGGGATGGAAAATATCACTCTTCTCATGTCTAGCTACTAATATATAAAAACAAGCAAACATTTGGTGGTCTAAACCCAGTTTCTTGCTAAGACACCACCACCTGTGCCGCCTAGGTTTGGAAACCCGGAACAGTGACGTAACAGAGGGTGGGGTTAAATTGTGAAAGTAAAGTAAGATCGATTTGATTGTTACAATTGGATATTTGAGATTTTAAACTTCGGTTGACAAAATGAACTGTATTATTTCATCTTATGATATGATATAGAGGGCTAATATATACTAAGTGACATATATATCCGAACACCCAGTTTAAATGGTTTTATTTTAATAAAAGTTGGTGAATGTATTTATCTTACTGTAAATAACAAGTGAAAAAATTTTCAGCCTTATCAGTTGGACATGCCGGTTTTTATACTGCTTTTTTTTAATTCACTAACGCTCTAAAAATGAATATTTCAGCCGCAGTAAAGATTTAACGTTGGCGGATTTTGGTTATTGACATCCTTTACGATCGGTTCTATGCCTAGAGTACGGAGACCTGTACGATTTCGTCAACTTAGTGAGTTTGATAGGGACCGTATAGTGGGACTTCGGGAAGCTGGACTTTCTTTTCGGGCAATTGCAGCAAAGAAGTGTAGACACTGTGGTTAGGTGTTGTCAGGCATGGCTTTGAGAACGCCGTACGCAAAGAGCAAGGGGCACTGGACACCGCCGTAGAACAACAGACCGTGAAGATCGCCGCCTAAGATAATTGGCCTTAAGGGACCGTTTCTCCACTACCAGGTCCATTGCAAATGAATGGTTTGCAGAACACGGAAGACCTATTGGCATGCGAAGTGTTTACCGACGAATGAGAAGTTTTGGCTTGTTTTCATACCGGCCACACTGGGTCCTCCCTTTAACTCGAGAACACCGACGTAATCGCCTTGAGTGGTGCAGACAACGGTCACTCTGGGATCAGGAATGGAACAATATTTAGTCTTTAGTGACGAGTCTCGATTTTGTTTAGGGATGCACGATGGTCGTGCCAGGGTTAGAAGGCGACGTGGTGAAAGGAGGAATCCACAGTTTTTTGTTGAACGACATGTTCATCACACTGTTGGAGTTATGGTTTGAAGTGCTATAGCTTATGGTTCCAGGTCACCTTTAATCTTGATCAGAGGTAACATGAACGCGCAGCGTTATATCCACGAAGTTCTAGAACCCCATATTTTACCCTATCTTGACACCCTGGCAGATCCAACTTTCCAACAAGATAATGCCCGACCACATGTTGCAAGAGTCAGAATAGACTTCTTTCAACATAATGATGTCACATTGTTACCATGGCCACCAAGGTCTCCCGACTTATCCCCAATTGAGCACGTGTGGAATATGATGGGTAGGAGATTGCTAAATTTGCAACGTCCTCCTCAGACTCTAGAAGCTTTTCGAGAGGAGTTGGTGATTGCCTGGAATGTGATACCACAGGAGGGCATTGACCACCTGATCAGAAGCATGCCTAGGCGCGTTGGAGAGTGCGTAGCACATCAGGGTGCATCCACACATTATTAAAGGTCAAAGGGCTTTAAAGCACTGCAATTATTTTGAAATTTTTATCATTTACTTATTATGCTTCATTAAGTACTTATACAAAATTTTATTAAAATAAAACCATTTAAACTGGGTGTTCGGATTTATATGCCACTTAGTATATTTTTGATTGTAGTAAGATTCTAGCCTCTATATCAATTTCATACAATACTTGATATTCATTATCAGAAGCTTATCAGAAGTACTACATAGACAAAAGATATTGTTGATCTACTGCAGTTGAGATTCAAGTTTATTATTTGATAATTCATAAAACTTACATTCCTGGCAGGAAGGAAATCTTTCCAGAAAAAGGGACAACATACCGAAGAGTGTAATAAAAATAATGTTTTCTAATCAGTTACTGTTTGCCCTTTACCTCGTTTAAGTCGACTAAGGAAACCAAGTCCGATATTAACAAATAATTTAAAATAAGTGATGTTGACTTATCGACATCACTGATTTGAATAATTTTAAGATACTTTGTGTCAGCTTCAAAAGGAAAATCAAGGTTGAGATGGGGGATAACAGACGAAAAATTATAATTATGGTCTATGTATGCCACTTTGCAGAGATCAAAAAGTGGCAATATCACTCTGCAGTTTATTTTGAAATCCTGTATCTAATAAATTCAGAAAAATTAAAAACGATTCTATTACGTATAGGTGGGAAAAGTTACTTCGAATTTAGATTTAATGACTTCAAGAGGACGTTTAGAAATTGGAAGATTTCATCAATAAATAAAATATTGTTGGAAGTTGCTGATATCAGTAATGGAGTTTTTTTGTGTCGATAGTATGACAAAGGTCATTAATACTGGCCAATGATATTTTTCCGATAAGGAGTGTATTAGATGATCTGTATTTAATTACTAACTTATGCGCCAAGTATTGTCGTCTGATATACAAATGAGGTTAATTACATTCTGCTAGTAGGGCAGGACATGGAGATGATCTCATTGCCCCGGTACTGACACTCAATTTCTTGGTTTGGATCCTATCTACAGTTCTTAAATGTGGATTTGTTACAGAATCATAGAGTGCACATCCATTATCCAGAATATATAATATATTTAATGTAGGACCTGCACAACTGAAGCGAAATACAAACCGCAAGAGGCATCGATGCGATGGGTTTAAACTTCGTTTTTATGTCATAGTAGGAGTAGAGTATAATTTGCATATCTTCCTGCGTTTCTATGATCCTGATAACAGGTCTCCAATCAATTTTATAAAGAAAGCCTGTTCGACAGGATCTCAGAAACCACGAGTAGCATATATGCCACGTATCCAAGTTTCACGCGAGTATCATAGAGTACAGTAGTCGCCCTATATCAATCTTACGAGAAAAGTCTGGTCGGCAGTGCGATTTTCAGAAACCTATTGATTTTGTATTAGGATCGCAGACATGACTAAGACCATAGATGTCCAAGGCTAAGATTTCGCGCCAACATCCATAGCATAGGCAGGGCACTATTCACATACGTCCTCGGGTTTCATTGATCATGATAGCAACCTGTCGTGCACCAATTTTACGAGAAAAGTCTGGGCGACAGTGCGATTTTCAGAAACCTATAGATCTGTCAGGATTGCATAAACGAAGAGTAGCATAGATGCTAAGGAACCAAATTCGCGCGAGTCTCATAGATACTGTTCACATACCTCCTCGCGTTTCTGTTATCCTGATAGCAAGTGACCGTCCACCGATTTCACGAAAAAAGTCGTGTGGTTGACAGTGCAATTTCCAGAAACCTGTAGGTCTATCAGGATCACAGAAACTGCAAGAGGCATACCATGAATTTCGGTTTCATTTTTATCTCGTAGCAGGAGTGGAGTACCATTTGCATATCTCCCTGCGTTTCTTGGAACCTGATAACACGTGTCCAATCTTTTAATTTTACGAAGAATGCTTGATCGACGGTGCGGCTTTAATAAACTTATAGATTTGCATCAGGATCGCAGAAACCACGAGCAGCATATATGCCATGGATCTAAGTTTCACGTGAGTATCATAGATAGGGCACAGTACTATTCACCTCCTCGGCGCTCTGTGATCCCGATAGCAACTCACCGTCTATTCATTTTACGAGAAAAGTCTGGTCGGCAGTGAGATTTCTAGAAACCTATACATCAGGTTCGCAGAACCGGCAAGAGGTATAGATGCAATGGATTAGAATTTCGTCCTTATCTCGTAGCAGGAGCAGAGTACTGTATTTGCATACCTCTTCGCGTTCCTGTGAACCTGACAGCACGCCAATCTACCAATTCTACGAAGACAGCCTGGTCGATAGTGCGACTTTAAGAAAGTTATAGATCCGCATCAGGTCCACAGAAACTAAGAGGATCATATATACCAAGGATTCAAGTTTTACGCGAGTATCATAGACAGAGCACAATATTATTCACATACATCCTCGCGGTTCTGTGATCCTGATAGCAACTCATCGTCCATCAATTTTACGAGAAAAGTTTGGTCAACAGTG